CTCAGGGTTTGTAGGGTTTAGGGCTCCCTAAACCCTAAACCGTTTAGGGTTCAGGGTTTAGGGCTTAGGGTTCGTAGGGTTTAGGGCTCAGGGTTTGTAGGGTTTAGGGCTCAGGGTTTATAAGGTTTAGGGTTCAGGGTCTGTAGGGTTTAAACCCTAAACTTCCTAAACCCTCAACCCTAAACCCTAAACCCTAAACCCCTAAACCCTGGTTCCACCCTGCCACAGAGCGATCGCTTGGAAACCCCGAAACCGACCTGTGGTCTTCCCTAGCACCTTGACGAAAAGAATAGGTTTAGGGTTTTAGAGTGAAGAGTTTTAGGGTTTAGGGTTTAGGGTTTTAGGGTTTAGGGTTTAGCGCTTTAGGGTTTAAGGGTTTAGGGTTTTAGGGTTTAGGGTTGAAGGGAGAAGAAGAACCGGAGGGATAATATAGCTGGGTTGTAGCTTCGGGCCCCCCCCCCCAAATTCTTTATGAATTAGGTACCTGTATTGGAACCATAAGGGTAATAGGGGTCATGAACAGTTGGGGTAGAGTTTGATATTAGGAACCCTCAAACACAGTCTTTGTAATTCTTCCGGCCCCCTACGTTAGCTCGTTCGGGAATCCTGTTCCAGCCAGGGTCCTACTTGTCAGGGCCGGGCCGACTACTACTGCTTCTTCTAGGACGATGGTGATGGCGACCACATCTCGATTCTTGAGGAGAAGGACTAGGAAGAAGGCGCTAATGACCGTGATGGCGTCGATCATGGCGTGAAGTCGAACGTTGTGACGTCGACGATGGCAATGCGAATCATCAACATCATGATCACCATCAACATGATCATCGTCGTCTTGCCAGCTAAATATAGTCGTAACGATAATCACCGCTGATTGTGGTGGAAGGCTGTGTGCCTGGGCTTCCTTACGCAGTTCTGCGTGCTGCGAACCTAACTTAAGCACCGTACTTCCGTGACCAAACACCAGACAGACCGGACGTAGAACCAGATGGGGTAAAAGCCACGACCTTGAATTTAGGTTGCACATACATCTACATGGTCTTGTGGAAACGCTCTTAGCGATGCGAGGCAAAGCTGAAAGGGGAAAGTCAACGAGATTCTTTTCGGAAGCAAGGCTTGGCCGTGATATTCCCAACAACTGCACACATTGTCGTCCACGGGACCCTAAAGCCTAAACCCGAAAACCTGAACCCTAAACCGTAAACCCGAAACCAACTAACTGTCGCTGCATTGTTATCGACTTAGGAGCAGAGCCTAAACAAACTCTGATTCCAGGCGGTGTGCTGAAGAATAGGTTGTTTTTAGGGGCAAAGGTTTAGGGTTTAGGGTTCCGCGAATTTGAGGTTCAGGGCTTAAGGTCTGTATATGTTCAGGAGGTATCCTGGCTGCCCAAAAACCAGACGATTGACTGCTTGTGGAACTTCGAGGGTGTACCATTAAAGCAGCAGAACCAACACTCTTGCTGGATCCCCAAAAATTCTAGACTTGGGCTTGCAATAGCACCTAGGAAATCAACTTAAATCATGGTAATGTAGGCCCTATAAACCCTAAACCCTATAAACCCTAAACCCTATAAACCCTATAAGCCCTAAACCCTATAAACCCTGTAAACCCTACATCCCACCGTTGCCTGGCAAAGGCTCACGGACCAACACATCGTAGTGAATGCCGTCGTAGATGAGAAGGGCACGTTGCTCATAGCCTCAGTACAGGCGACGACAATCCTTGAGAGCTTTTCTGGCCTTACCCATAGGCTCCTTAGTAGTTCCTTCTTGGGATTACCTTGCAGAATCCTACATATCGTCGCCCCAAAAATAAGGAACTTCTAAGGAGCCCATGGGTAGTGCTTAGTGTTTGGGGCTCTGGGTTGCCTTCACAAACGCATATAACCCTAAGCCCTAAACCCTAAACCCTAAACTAGTAGCAGCTGACATAGAAGCCCTCGGTGTGTTCTATGCTCTGCAAGGCAATTGGGTCCTAAGTGTCTAAAAGATTTCAATACTTTAGAGGCGTCCTAAAGTAGTAATTAGCTTTGGGCCCTTATAATACCCATTAGAGTCAAGTTCTTCTGTAGAAACAAGTTTCTGATTTGTCTCGAGAAGGTCTTGCGGATACTCAAAGGCAACAGCAAATGAGGAGAACCTACCCTAAACCTACACTTAGGGTTTAGGAGTTTAGGGTTTAGGCATCCCATGCCCTAAACCATAACTAAGCCCCGTACCCGAAACCCTTAACGGAGCCATAGGGCAAAGAAAGCCTGTCTGAATCGCCACTGGGCCAGGCAGGCATACGATGCGGAGTTTCATAAAATGCAGACCCGTAGCTATGTCATGTCGTTGGGGGCATTAACAATTATGATAAGGTCTTGTGGGAGTTATAGTGTACCTTTAATAAGGCACCCTATGGCCAATATTGGTCATCATTCAGGCTTCTATAGGGAACAATCCACACTGCAAGGACCCACAATAGGGGCCGCCGAAATTGAAGAGAACCCCATGTAAACCCTAAACACTCAACTGCGCAACTCTAGTCTTAGACTTCACATATCTGGCAACCGCAGCGGATGCGATCCAGAGAAGTCCACCCCGGCTAGGGTTCAGGTTTTAGGGTTTAGGGTTAGGGTATCAGGACCGCAATACTATAGACTACCAATAACCCCTGAACCTTCAACCCTGAACCCGGAGCCCGCAACATCCCTAAGACCATGTTTTGGCGAAGCAGCTCTTCCCCTCGCCGAAGATATCAACCCGCAGCGATTGGCAGTCGAAAGCGGCTATCTCTGCTTCCTGATTTGCTGTGTAGGGTTTGGGATTTCGGGCCTGGGGTTTCGCGTGTGGGATGTAAGGTGTACCCGTATGCTCCTTGGTAGTTCCTGTTTGGGAATTATGAAGGTATTCCCAAAAGGGAACAACTAAGGAGCCTATGGCTAGGGGGCATACATCACCAAAACTCAGCCTCAGCCGGACGGCGGAGTTCGGCATGTCAGAAAGGGCCCAGAGAAAAAGACTTGAGGCGAACAGGGTTTAGAGTTTAGGGTTTAGGGTCTAGGGTCTAGGGTTTAGGGTTTAGGGTCTAGGGCTTAGGCTTTGTTAAACAAAGCTTCGCATTAGTCGTTGCGATCTTCTGCATGGGTCGCTCTCTAGACTGGGTCCTTTTTTAGGTCCCAAGAAGTCTACGGCATCCGTATACAAGGACCCTAAAAGGGACCCACATCTAATTTAGAAGAGAGCTACCCGCGGTTCGGATCTGTGGATAACGAGGATTTGGGGTGATTCCCGATAATATAGGGGCCTTAATCACTAGAATAGGGTTTTTGGGTATATTTTACTATGACTCTAACAAGGAACCACCAAAATAGTATAGGTAATTATTAAAGACCCTATCTTACCCTGAAGCCTCCACTGCGGGGCTTGGCCCCCAAATATCTTACACAAAACAAAACAGATTCAAGAACTTTCAACTCTGATCCGGCAGGAACATAATCATGCAACATTCGGGCGTGACACTGGCCATAAAACAACAAAGCCCTCTACCCGACACCCAAAACCTTCAGGCCCTTAACTCTAAACTCCATTCCCTATACCGTACATGCACCCGCAACTCGAAACCCGATACCCTCAACCCTATGACAACTCTGAACCCTGCTAATTTCTCTACGCTCTTAGAGTTCGGTCCAAGAATGGGGTAGGATTTAGGGTTAAGGCGTAAGGGTTTAGGGTTTAGGGATTGGCGGCTCCCTTCGGGGTCTGAATTCACTGCTGCAGGGCCTTGTGACGCAGTACTTCGTAGAGGGTTCGGGAGATATTCTACAAAACTATATCCGTACTATAAGGCCTTAAGGGCATACCTTGGTAAGTACTCCAGCCCCTGTATAGTTCACACTGTCTTTTTCATTAACTGCCCCTTGTCAGGGGGGAAGAACCGTCGTCGCGCACCCTAATATAAACGACCACAACCCACAGAAGTCGCAACGTTGTGCACTAAAAAACTAGACAGCCCTGCAGCCTAAACCCTTTTGCCCAAACCCTAAACCCTAAACCCCTAAACCCTAGACCCGAAGCACTTGAACCAGCAGCCAAGAGCTTCATTACAGTTAGCACAACTAGGAAGTTCAGCAAATTCTGTGGTTTCCTTAGTTTGCCAATCTAAACTAAGTTCCTTGTGGTGCATTGTACTACTGACGTAAGAAATTGTGAAACCCTAAACACTAAACCCTACCGTATCATCAGTTACTTCGAAGTTTAAGTTCCTTGGTTACAAGAACCGATAACACCTTCTGACCCCCAGACCGCTGACCCTAAACAGCCTAAACCCCAAACCGTGTAACAACTTCGAGCAAAAACCCAGCAAGACACTATAAAACCCGAGGAAGCCCTAACAAGAAAACGTTGATGTAGGGGCCTTAATAATTAGAATAGGGTTTTGGAGCCCATTATACTATAATTATAATGAGGAACCCCCAAAAATAGTATTGGTAATTATTTAGGCCCTTATAGTATACATCCAAGCAACGTAATGATCCGACAAGACTGCCAGCTCGATCCCTCCGCCCCAGTGTTCGGGGCTCTGGATCCTTGGAGAGCTGGGAGCCCCTTCTGCAGGGAGGCAGGTGTCGGTAGTTGTAAGGTGGGCAGGCAGCCAGACAAAGGTGATCGGGGTGGGTAGCTCGATAGGTAGGGTAGGTAGGTAGGCAGGCAGGGAGGTAGGCAGGTAGGTAGGCAGGCAGGAGGTAGGGAGGTAGGTAGGTAGGTACGTAGGTATGTAGGTAGGTTGGTGGGCAGGCAGGCAGGCAGGTAGGTAGGTGGGTAAGTAGGAGGGCAGGAAGTGTGTGTGTGTGTATATATATATATATATATATTCATTTGTAAATATGCATATGGCAGAGAGAGAGAAGGAGAGACAAAGCGGAATGTGTATGTATTTCACATGAACATGAACGTAACATCTAAAATGGAGTAGCGCGAACAGAATGAATATAAGGCAATAGAATACGAGCATCAACATATATAGTATATAATATTCTGCCAAAACTACTAAATTATATTATGAAATAATACATGATCGTTTGCTGTATTATCTTATACAACAGTAGAGTATGTATACTATAATATCTTACTATGTTACTTTACCTACTGCATCATATTCTTCTACCTAGAGTTGATTTTAAACCATAGACCCGAAACCCTGAGCCAAACTCCAAACCCAAAGACATGCCAGGAGACCAGTCTGCATACTCCTCGGGGCTCTTCCCCAAGACGACCTCTGTCCACCTTCTGCGGCTAGGGTTTGGGGTTGATTCGGGATTTGGGATTTGGATTTTAGGGTTCTTACAGGACTGAGCCACTTAGTTGCTGAGCCTGAGTTCATACCCAGGCTGTGGTGTTTATGGAATTTGAAGTGCTTTGTAAATATGAGGCCTGAATCGGTCGAAACGGGCTTTGGGGACATACTGACATACTCCAATCGATTTTTGTTCAAGCTAAGACTACAAGTATCCTCGAAATCGGACAACTTCTTAGTCTTTAAATAGTCCGACGACATCAGTCGCTAATCCTACAGAACGGTACGGGGCAGATCGGAACTGGGGCCAAAGAACCTCATGTCATGTCATGCTGGAACTAAGAACGTCAAGAAATCCACCTGAACAAGCAAATCGGTACAAGTCCGAACATGAAAGCAGGAAACATATCCGCAGAGACCCGCAGGATGCTGCAGCCATGACCCTTCAACTTCCAATCAGAATCCCCAAAGCCCTACAACGCTAAACCATAAGCCAAAACCCCTATGCTGCTAACGCTAAATCGCTAATCCCCTAAACCCCTAATTAACCCCCAAAAGCCCGAATCTGCCAGCCGATGGGCACGTCTGGCGACGAGAGAATGATTGCAGCCACGGTCTCGCGCAGTGTCGGCGCTTTGTCCGTTGCGCGTCCTTTAGGTTGTAAGGGGGGCCTTAGGGCACCCTAAACCCTAAACCCTAAACCCTAAACCCTAAACCCAAAGCCCTAAGCTGTCCTAAGACCTAGGGGACCTTCTGCATCAAGCCCCTGACACCGGAAATCCGAAAGAACAACAGCACAGCCCGTCTGCCCGACGCAAGATCTTCTACGAAGCTGTGGTACTAAGCCGGGGCCTGAATGAATAGAACTTAGGGTTTAGGGTTTAGGGTCCAGGTTTTAGGGTTTAGGGTTCAGGGTTTGGGGTTTAGGGTTTAGGGTTCAGGGTTTAGGGTTTAGGGTTTAGGCCTGTGCTACCTGACAGCTCTTGCGGCTCTAGGGGCTGTCTCTATGGGCCTAGCTTGTAAAGTTCTTTGCGAAAAAGCAGTAACAGTCGCTCCAATCCGTGAGCCGCAGCTCATCCGAAAGAGCAGCCATACTAGGAAAATGAACACCTTAAACCCTAAACCCCTTAAACTCTAAACACGAAAACCTTGGCCCTTGACCCTTGTGGGGGTTTCCGAAAAATAGGGACCCTTATATAGTACCCCAAATAGTAGGATCCTGATTGTAAGGACCCCAAAATAAGGTCCCCTAATTTTCGGAAACTCCCTCATGACCTAGAACCCTAAACTCTAAAAAGCCCTGAACCCTTGAACTCTAAAAGCCCTGAACCCTTAAACTCGAAAAGCCCTGAAACCTTAAACTCTAAACCTTGAAAGCCCTGAACCCTTAAACTCTAAAAACCCTAAACCCTAAACCTTGACCCTCATGACTTCGAACCCCAAACTCAAGCGCCTTAGTAGTTCCTTTTGGGGATTACCTTATAGGATCCTAAATATAATCCCCAAAAACAGGAACTACTAAGGAGCCTATGGGTAACCCCAAACTCAAGCGCCTTTAGCCTGTCTGATGCCAGCAAAAGGCCCGAGGCCGGCTCGTCTCTACGCTCCCGGCTGAGGCTTCATAGTTTCATAACTAGTCCTAGGTTTAGGGTTTAGGGTTTAGGGTTTAGGGTTTAGGGTTTAGGGTTTAGGGTTTAGTTGGGGCTTAGGGTTTAGGGTTTAGGGTTTAGGATTCGGATTTCTATTCCTTCTTCGGTTTAAATACCCATGAAAACGCAGAACCCTACCCAACTGTGGCAAAGATAAGGAAAGGAGAGGAGACGGTACGGTCAGCAAAACATATATGCAATCCCTGCAACCAAAAAGCTTGGTCCACGGCTGCAGGTTGAAGGCGTTAAACTAAAGGCTTGCAGTGAGCGGTGTTTTTGCTCGAAACTAGTCCATGGTTGGGATGGCAAATAAAAAATGCAACTTATATTCCTGCCTGGGTTCAAGTATCCATGAACATGCAAAATGCTACCCAACTACCCAACTATGACAAAGGAAACACGGCAGTGGCTTTTTCAAAGGCATTCTCCCTGAGTTGCCGGCCTTCCAGAGCATAGGCTATCGAGTTGAACAGGCAGGAATTGTCGGCATCGATGACATGCCGTGCCATTTTGCCTCAGTTCGGCATGGCTTGTAGAAACGAACCCGAATCCCAGAGACTGGTACTAGAAACTAGACCTGAAACAGTACATGTTTAGGGCTGCAGGGATAGGGTGCACTGACCCAACTCCCTAAACTATCGCCCGAAAGTCCGAACAAGAGTCCCTGGCGTGGCTTCTGCGTGGTATGTGCCGCATCGGCCAATGACAGTGCGATTGCAGCGGCCAGATCTGCATCTTCGTCAGACATTGTCGGAGATATCGCTGAGAGGAGCTCGCAAAACAGAAATGCTCAGAAATAGAAACAAGTAGCCCTTAAACTATAATGATTTAATGGAATGCCAACATACTACATGCCAACTACATAGTGTGAATTCCTACTCGTAAGTAAAGGTATCCGGCTTCGATCAGACCTGATCGCTGATCCACAGCTGTCTCGTGCGAGTGACTATGCATTGCTGTGCTGGGAAATTTCATGTCACGAAGGCTGTCACTGGGACTCTGGCTGTCTAGATGCAAGTGATGCAGAGGTCTGAAACCCCCCTCAACACATGCCCCGATTGCCCATCAGACCGTGTCACAGTCGGGGCTACACAAGGGTTTAGGGTAGAGTTTAGGGCAGAGTTTAGGGTTTAGGGTTTAGTGTAGGGTTTCGGGTTTAAGGGACATGACTCTGACCTCATTTACAGAAGGGGTGGGAATTCAAAATGTTGCAGGCCTTGCTGCTTGAGCCATAGAGACAGGTATGCTTGGAACGAGCTGAAACCATGTGCCCCTAGTGTGCTGGGATCCTTATATACATACTCTATACCCTGAAGGCTCGCTCATATCGCCCTAGAAAGGCCTAAAGGTCCAAATCAGAGACCCATATTTCAAACCTTCGATTGCTGAGAGAACAGCGAAACCTCGGGCTCCACCAAAGTACCCTTCGTTCACTCGGGGTTTTCGCCTGAAGTGTGAGATTCATGAGGGCTGGCCGAGCTTCGGGTTCAGGAGTGAATTGAGCTGCGTGGGGTTTGGGGTTTGGGAGGCCATAACGTCGACGAAGTCGTGCATGTCTAAGTTATATCTTAAACAACATGAAAGGGACACTCTTGACCTCTGTGTGTGTATATATATACATATTCTATATATATATATATATATGTATACACACACCCGCATAGATATGTTCATCCTTTGTATGTACGTATGTGCATATGTATGTACGTATTGCATGCATGTATGTATGTGTATATATCTGCAACTATCTACCTATGTATATACAACTCCTCGATGGTTCGGGTGTGTTCAGACCAGACTAGCCAAGAAGCATAATCTGGACCCACCTTCTGAGCAGGGTTTGGAGTGCATTATAGACCATCTTGGTGCAACTTTACTTTAGGGAACCGTAAGGAAGAATATGGGTAACTATTCCGTTATATTTTGCGACAAAGGCGTTAAAGGCTCTTTGAGCTGCAGCGCCCTCTGTCAAGCCCGTCTCGAGCTCTAGAAGCCAAAAGTAGCTGTAAGGCAAAGGCAAAGCTAAGTCCAACATCCAACACTCTAGGGAATTAGGAAAGAGATATGCGGATTTCGGCATCAGGTTTCATTTAGGGAGTTTAGGAGCAAGATATAAGGTTTCAAGTGCTTTTTGAACAAGGGGGGATTCAGGGGTTTTGGGAGCAATATGGAACAAGGCATTCAGATGTCAGGCTCAGGATGTGGAGATCTTCCTTCTGTCCCAAAGGGTCCTATGTACTGTTACGGGGGCTTCCCCTGAATCATAATAGTAATTCCTAACGTAGAAACCCTACATTCCACTATATAGGTACTTAGTTAGGACCCGTTGGGTGTAACCCTGAGACCGAAAGGAGCACACTGCATGGCTTGGCATCCGGCGCGTGGGTTGGAAGATAGGCGCCTTTCTGGGACCGGCTTTGAAAGAGGAGAAGCCTAGAGCCTGAGCTTTAGGCTCGATTCAGAGGTTTAGGGTGTGGAAACAAGGACAGGTCCGAAACCCTAAACCCCAAACCCTAAACTCTAAGCTGTAAACCCTAAACCCTAAACCCGAATCCCCACAGTTTTTGGGACAGGTTTGGTTTATAGGGCACGTTTAGGGTGTGGGGACTTAGGGAAGCTCGATCCTCCACTGTCGGTACCCAAAGGGCGCGCTGACCCCTTGAATAAGGAAGGTGCCTCATTACCCCTCAAGACTATACTTCCAAAGCCGTAAGAAAGCTACCCTAAGCCCTAAGACCTAAACCCTAAACCTTAAGGAACGCTTAAAGTTGATGTAAGCAAGGTTGGTGAACTCGGGGTTGGTCCACTACGGATCCTACGATTGAGGCTTTATGCTCGGGTCCCCAATTAGGGTTTAGGGTTTAGGGTTTAGGGTTTAGGGTTTAGGGGAGCTTCAAAAGCTCTTCGAAGCAATGGATTAGACTAGGGCTTTAGGCATTCCTTGCTCGTCCTTCTTGTCTAGTATCCCGGGGAACCAAAGTTTTTCCTTCGGGAGTATATTGAGATTATATAAGGGTTACATGGGGGTGATAATAAGAAATAATGCCCACACAAAAGGTTAAAGGTGACCTACTGTACTACTAGGTAGTTCTATGAAAACAGATGCAATAAAGGGGCCTTAATCATTACCTATACTATTCTGGGGGGTTCCTTATTGTAACTATAGTATAGTATACCCCCAAAACCCTATTCTAATTACGGAGGCCCCTGCATTATTTGGGAGCCCGCAGGCCTCGCCCTGACTTGGCGCAGAATCAGAAGGCATGAGATCCCCAAAGGGTCCTATAGGGTTTAGGGTTTAGGGTTTAGGGTCCTATGTACTGTCATGGAGGATACTTCCCTGCCCATAATGGCAACTCCAAATATAGAGACCCTACATTCCACTCAAAACGGCGCGGCTTTCTAGGGACCCATCTGCATCCACACGCTCCTGTTCAAAAGCCCTAGATGCCCTGAACCCGAAAGCGAACACCCGAAACCCAAACCCAAACCCTAAACCCTACAACACTGCAAACCTTCAAGCCAAAGCTGACATCTTGTATGCATAAAACCAGGCTGCAAATTGAAAAGAACCTAAACCCAAAACCCTAAACTCGTAAGCCCCTAAACCCTCAAGATAAAAATCCTTGATGTCAAAGTCTACACCATTTAATGTATGGGCCTTAATAACTAGACTAAGGTTTTGGGGGCCCATTATACTTTACTTATAA